TAGATGGCGTGAGAGTGAGTGGTAGCGTGTGAGAGTTGCGAACTTTTAGATAAGCGAAATTAGTGATAAGAAGCGGAAAAATTGATAGGAGAAGGGGTGTGGAGGAGTGGATTAGGGCGAAGGTCAAGGGTGATTGGAGGGAAGACAGGGTGTGAAGAGGGTGAGGTGCAGGAGTGTGATTTGCGAGGGACGTGTAGTAAGTAGGTTATGGCGGACAAAGAATTGGCGGGAAGCAGTGGTGTAGGCAAGATGGGTAGAGGGAAGGTAGTCGGCAAGGTAGAAAGCAGACAGAGGAGGTTAACATCGGACGAAGGACTGAGAGTGACATTTAGTGGACAGGTGGAGTTCGATAAATTAAAGAAGGAACTGATAAAAGAGGTAGGTGAGGAATTGAAGGAATTAAAAGAGGAAAGGAAGGTATGGAAAGAAGAGAGGGAGGAATATAGGAAGAGGGAAAGAGAATGGGAGATAAAAAGATGTAATTTAGAGGAAAGGATTGCTGGGCTGGAAAAATGGAAGAAAGAAAGGGAAGAGAAGGTGGAGAGTGAGGAGGAAGAAAGAGTGAGAAGCGAGAGTAGAGATGGCAGGAGTGTAAGAAGTATAAGAAGCGCAGGGTCGGTTAGCTCGGGATCGAGGGGGAGCGAGGATAGGTTAAGTGTGAGGGAAGTAGAAAGGCTGAAAAGATTTGTGTCGGATAAAGAGAGAGAGGAAAGGCGAAACAATGTGATAATAAGAGGGGTGAAAATGGAAAAGGAAATAGAAGGGGATAGGAAGAAATGTGCAGAGTGGATAAAAAGCTGGTTCAAGGAAAAGCTGGGGGTAGAAGGGGGGGTAGTGTTTTGTAGAAAAAGTGGAACGGTACTATTAGTTAAGCTAGAGAGTGAGGGAATAAAAAGAGAGGTGATGAGGAATAAGAGTAAATTGAAAGGTGAAAGTATATACATTGAAAACGATTTAAGCTGGGAGGAAAGGAGAATACAAGAAAAGATTAACAGATGGGTGAGAGGACAAAAAGGTAAAGGAATAGATTTAAAGGTGGGGCATGGAAGAGTAAGGGTGGGTAACGTCTGGTGGACTTGGGAGGAGTTAGAGAGAGAGGAAGAGGAAAAGGAGGATAAAGGAAAAGAGAAGGAAGGGCAGAAAGGAGGGGCAGGGAAGGTGAGAGAGGAGACGGAGAAGCATTTTGCGTAGGCCGGGAAGGGTACGCGGGAGACGACGGGGGAAAGGGAGGAAAGAGGAAAGGGGGGAGGAAAGGAATAGAGAAAGGGAAAAGTAAGGGTAAGGAAAAGAAAAAAGGTAAGGGTACAAAGAAGGTGATTTTCTGGAATGTGGCAGGAATTTATAATAAAGGGGTGGATTTTTGGAGGTATGTTGGGGAATTCGATTTTGTCAGTTTAAGTGAAACATGGGTAGAGGAGAAGAACTGGGAAAATATGAAAGAGAGGCTGCCAGTGACACACGAGTGGAGTTGCAGTTATGCCGAAAGAGTCAAGGATAGAGGAAGAGCAAAGGGAGGTTTTATTATAGGAAGGAGGAAGAGTTGGGGGAGGAGTGAAGGTAAGTTAAAAATGGAGGAAGAAAAGGGGGTGATAAAAACGGAAATCGAAGACGGTAAGGAGAGGTGGGAAATATGTTCGGTATATGGTACGGGCGGATGGAGCAAGATGGAAGAAAGGATGAATAGGATCTTAAGGAAAGAAAGAGAGGGAAGGGAGATGGAGGGGATGATATTAGGAGGAGACTTCAATGTGAGAATTGGAGAATTGGGGGATTTAGGTGTAGATGGAGCAGAGGAGGGAAGGAGAAGCAAGGATAAAACAATTAGTAACGAGGGTAGGAAATTCGTAGACTGGGTACAAGAAAGCGGGTGGCATATTTTGAATGGAGCATGTGATGGCGACTGGGAAGGGGAGTATACTTATATAGGGGCGAGAGGTAGTTCGGTAATTGATTATATTATTGTTAACGACACTGCGTTAGAAAAAATTAGAGATTTTAGGATAGGAGACAGGGTGGACTCGGACCACATGCCTTTAATTATGGAAATGGAGGAAGAAGAAAGAAGAGGACTAGTACAGGAAGAGGAAAGGGAAATGGAGGAGGAAGAAGAAAAGGAAGTGATCTTATGGGACAGAGAATCAATTGAGATCTTCAAAGAAGAGGCGGAAAGGTTATGTTTGGGGGAACCGGAAAAAGAATCGGTTGAAGAGAAATGGATAGGTTTGAAAGAAATCGTGCAAACGGCTATGGTGAGAAGAAAGGTGAAGAAGAGAAAGAGAGAGCTGGGTTACAAGGATTGGTGGGATAGGAGCTGCACGAGAAAAAAGAGGGCAGTTCAGAGATTGTACAAGAGTTGGAGGAAAGGTTTGGCAAGCAAAGAAAGATTTTTGGAGGAGAAGAAAGACTTGAGGGAGTTATTAGAAAGAAAACAAAAGGAGAAAAGAGAAGAGGAGGAAGAGGAATTAAAGAAAGTGAAAAGAGAAGCCGAGGTTTGGAAATTTATAAATAAAAAGAGAAGGAAAAAACAAGGGGTGGAAAATAACATCGGAAGAGAAGAATGGAGGGAGTATTTTATGGAGCTATTAGGAGGTACGAATTCAGGCGAGAAGGAGAAAAGCAAAGAAGAGGAGATAGGATGCGGAGAGGAGACGGAAGAGATCGGATTACAGGAAGAGGAAGTCAGGAGAGCAGTAAAAAAGTCAGGGTTAAAGAAAGCTGCGGGGATCGACGGGATACCGATGGAGGCGTGGAAGTATGCCGGAGCA